TGATGTCCTCCTGTCGTGGAAGAGGGGTACGACGCCGGGGAGGTGGCCGAGGGGGAGGTCTGAGAGAAAGAATGGAGATGGAGGTTGAAAGAGATGACTCTGTGGAAGAAGAACAGGAGGAGAGGAAAGAGAACGGACAGTATAATGGTAAAGAGAACCGTCCTCAGAAACGAGGGGGTAAAACTGGTGAAGACGAGAATGGAGAAAGCCATCGAAACGGAGAGAGCGAGGGGAGCAGTGAGGGAGGAGAGGCCACTCCATCTGACACTTCTATGGTGCTAAATGATGATGTCGGAGGCCAGGGGTCCTGCGTCACAGTGACATTACAGCCATCGAGGGGTAGGCGCGACCCTAGCGCCATTGTTCCTAAACTGGAAGCCAACTTGTCTCCTAGAAGCCTTCCGCAAAACCACAAAGCCCTGCTCCATCCCCCACTGCGAAACGGTGCCCCTCGCTCAGACAGTCCTCATTTGCCTGCAGACAGATTGCACGTAAACAAATCACATGCTCTTTCATCATCACCGCACACTCTGACCAGAAGTGCATCCAAACACTCACACATGGTGCGGAGTCTGAGATCAAACTTTAAAGATTCCCCTCACCGGCTGACTCGAGAGAGAATTGGGAAAAAGACTCGATTGGAAAAGGCGAAATCCTCCGACTCTTGTCCCAGTTCCACCTTGCGGCCCTCAGCGGAGCAGAACGGAGGGAACGAGCCAGGCTGGGAGAGAGAGGTTTGGGTGTCCGTGTTCCGCTACTTGACTCGTGCGGAGCTGTGCGTTTGCATGGCTGTTTGCAAAACAAGTCATCCTGTTTAAACAGGCCTTTGCTTGACTCACTCTTTAGATGATAATTGGATCTAAAGACTAATTGTGTAATTTTTTTTTTCTCCCCTGAAGTCTTCCAGTAGTAGTGAGGAGGAGACAGACAGCAGCGTGTCCAACGGCAGTCGCTTGTCTGGTCCTCCAGCTAAGCGGGCATACAGAGAGGGGATTGGGGTGGGGGGTCTGCGTATAGGGCGCAAAGGTCGCCCGCCCCTCTCCCTCTCCTCCCCGCCTCTTACCCGCTCCAGACGACAGCCGCCCCCTTCCCAGAGACTCCTGCTGCAGCACCAGCAGAACAGGAGGAGAGCGGGAGCGCTGGAGTTACAGCTCAGGAAAAGGGTAAGTATGCAAACAGGTGCACATACAGTACATGTGTTTTACAGATGATGTTGCTTTCCATTCATTAAATTTACATTTGTTGGACAAGAAAGTTACCGACCCAAACCTTTGAATGGTAATGTAAGGTTTTTTATATGTGATAGAAAGAAGTCTCTTATGCACATCAAGGCTGCATTTATTTGATGGAAAATACTGTAAATCAATTAAATATCATTACAATATAAAATAACTGTTTTCTATTTAAATATATTTTAAAATGTAATTTATCCCTGTGATCAAAGCTGAATTTTCAGCATCATTACTCCAATCTTCAGTGTCACGTGATTCTTCAGAAATCATTCTAATATGCTCATTTGCTTCTCAAGGAACAATTCCAGTTATTATAAATGTTAAAACCATTGTGCTGCATATTTTGTGGAAATTTCACCTCTTACACCTCTTCTCACTTAAATCTGATTTCAGATTTACTTGCCCATTAATTTCACGTAAAACATAAATGACTTCGGTTGGCTTGATGCTCCCTTTTTGTCTCAAGTGGCTAGTGCCAAATTAAATTGCAATGTGAATCTGGCTTTATGATGATTGTCAAACTCTCTCATGTAATGCATGTTTGATTTCTTATTGTCTTTTGCAGATAAAATTAGAAAGGAATAAAATCCTCCAGTCGGTGAGTGTTTTGAGCCTATAACATTTGCTTCCCTCATCGCAGCACATCTGTAATCCTGCTTTTACCATTCTCACACGCTCTCGGCTGTGCTTTCGTTCTCTCTATTGTCTCTCAGACCCGTTCGTCTGTCTCTCTTTCTCCAAAGCTCCTGCGTCAGCGGAGTCTGGAGAGAGGGAGTGTAGTCAGAGCGGGACCCGGACGGAGCATTTCCCGTGGCCGAGGGATGTCCTCCTGTCGCGGAAGAGGGGTACGACTCCGAGGCGGTGGCCGAGGGGGAGGCCTGAGAGAAAGAATGGAGATGGAGGTTGAAAGAGATGACTCTGTGGAAGAAGAACAGGAGGATAGGAAAGAGAACGGACAGTATAATGGTAAAGAGAACCGTCCTCAGAAACGAGGGGGTAAAACTGGTGAAGACGAGAATGGAGAAAGCCATCGAAACGGAGAGAGCGAGGGGAGCAGTGAGGGAGGAGAGGCCACTCCATCTGACACTTCTATGGTGCTAAATGATGATGTCGGAGGCCAGGGGTCCTGCGTCACAGTGACATTACAGCCATCGAGGGGTAGGCGCGACCCTAGCGCCATTGTTCCTAAACTGGAAGCCAACTTGTCTCCTAGAAGCCTTCCGCAAAACCACAAAGCCCTGCTCCATCCCCCACTGCGAAACGGTGCCCCTCGCTCAGACAGTCCTCATTTGCCTGCAGACAGATTGCACGTAAACAAATCACATGCTCTTTCATCATCACCGCACACTCTGACCAGAAGTGCATCCAAACACTCACACATGGTGCGGAGTCTGAGATCAAACTTTAAAGATTCCCCTCACCGGCTGACTCGAGAGAGAATTGGGAAAAAGACTCGATTGGAAAAGGCGAAATCCTCCGACTCTTGTCCCAGTTCCACCTTGCGGCCCTCAGCGGAGCAGAACGGAGGGAACGAGCCAGGCTGGGAGAGAGAGGTTTGGGTGTCCGTGTTCCGCTACTTGACTCGTGCGGAGCTGTGCGTTTGCATGGCTGTTTGCAAGAGTTGGTACAAATGGTGAGTACACAATTACCACACCACACTTGGGGAAAAAAAACTTATTTTGTGTTGTTATTAATAATAGTAATTCTTCTTCTTCTTCTTCTTCTTCTTCTTCTTATTCTTATTATTATTGTTCTTTTTAATTCTTTTTTTTTTTTTTAAGAAATGTATCGTGTATGTTGTACTTTATTTGTATATCCGTGCATATTTTTAAAATAAATGATAACAATAGCTATTGTAATTTCACTGTTAAAAAATTATATTTAATTATTTTTACAGTACAACTAATAAATATGGCTGTCTCTATTTTTTTAACATTAAGCCATCAAGCTTTTATTTTGGTGGAAAAATGAAGGGAGACCTTAAAGCTTCTCTTTACATTGACAGTGGGCAGTTTGTATGTTTATCTCATTACAATTTTGGGAAAATGGTTGCTGCATTTTCAAGTGCACATAAACTGATGTAGAAATGGAATATGTGTAGAGCAGCCATTAAAGTGAACCGAGCCACACTGAGATACTAAAAACACTGGCTTATGATCTGCTCATGTGTAAATAAACGCAGTGCCACGCTTTTCTCTGAAACATGCAGTGAATGTTATTTTATTGAATCACAATCACATTTGATAATTAGGTGATTTGATCTTTTTCTTATTAATTGTGCAGCTCTACAAATACTTCTCTGCAAAAAATGTGGTCTTAACATGTTGCTAAGATAACAGCATGCCAATCTAATCATAAACATACTGCATACACATTGTATAAATTAGTCATTAATATCTTTCGGCATTGCATGAAATGTTTATTTATAATCAACATTTCCCTCTCTTTGTTGGCCATCTTGGATTTTTGATGCAATGCATTCTGGAATTACTTTCATCAGGAAGTATACACTTGATGCTGCATCAGAATTTTGCCCAGACAAGATATCTTGCCCATGATGCCTTTAAATGTTACCTGTGAAGGCAGCTCACTAGGCTTTGGAACAGAGCAAAGGTGTGTGTGTGTGTGTGTGTTCTAATACAGTGGTGTGATTATAGGGGCTGTGACAAGCGTTTATGGACGCGGATCAGTCTGAGCCGCTGCCGCTCTATAAGTCCTCAGGCCCTCACGGGCATCATCAAACGGCAGCCTGTCACACTGGACCTCTCCTGGGCCAACATCTCCAAGAAGCAGCTCAGCTGGCTCATCAACCGCCTGCCAGGTGCCTGTTCTCACATCACCACTGCATCTGTTTTTATACACTACATTTTATGATATGACTCACAGGCAGCTCTCTCACAGGCCTTAAAGACCTGGTGCTATCAGGGTGTAATTGGGCGTCAGTCTCAGCACTGAGCTCTCCAAGCTGTCCTTTACTGCGCTCTTTAGACCTGAGCTGCGCCGATGGCGTCAAAGATGCA